ACTCCTCTGATGGTTAGAAACCTTCGTCTAATTTAAAAGTCTAAACTTCCTGATGGCCAGTTTATATCCATTTGTTCTTGTGTCCACATTGGTACTGAGCTTAAATAATTCTTCTCCCTCCATGGTATTTATTCCTCTGATGTATTTATATATAGCAATCATATCTCCTCTCAGCCTTCTTTTGGTTAGGCTAAACAAGCCAAGCTCATTGAGTTTCCTTTCATAAGACAGGTTTTCCATTCCTCGGATCATCCTAGTAGCCCTTCTCTGTACCTGTTTCAGTTTGAATTCATCCTTCTTAAACATGAGAGACAGAACTGCACATAATATTCCAGATGAGGTCTCACCAGTGCCTTGTATAACAGTACAAACACCTCCTTATCTCTACTGGAAATACCTCGCCTGATGCATCCCAAGACCACATTAGCTTTTTTGACGGCCATATCACATTGGCAGTTCATAGTCATCCTGTGATCGACCAGTACTCTGAGGTCCTTCTCCTCCTCTGTTACTTCCAAGTAATGCGTTCCCAGTTTATAACAGAAATTCTTGTTATTAATCCCTAAATGCATGACTTTTCACTATTAAATTTCATCCTATCACTATTACTCCAGTTTACAAGGTCATCCAGATCTTCCTGTATGATATCCCGGTCCTTCTCTGTATTGGCAATACCTTCCAGCTTTGTGTCATCTGCAAACTTTATTAGCACATTTCCGCTTTTTGTGCCAAGGTCAGTGATAAAATGATTAAATAAGATTGGTCCCAAAACTAATCTCTGAGGAACTCCACTAGTAACCTCCTTCCAGTCTGACAGTTCACCTTTCAGTGTGACCTTTAACCAGTTCCTTATCCACCTTTCAGTTTTCATATTGACCCCCACCTGTTCCAATTTAGCTAATAATTCTCCATGTGGAACCGTATCAAATGCCTTACTGAAATCGGAGTAAATTAGATCTACTACGTTCCCTTTGTCTAAAAAATCTGTTACCTTCTCAAAGAAGGAGATCAGGTTGGTTTGACACAATCTAGCTTTTGTAAAGCCGTGTTGTATTTTGTCCCAATTACCATTGACCTCAATGTCCTTAACTGCTTTCTTCTTCAAAATTTTTTCCAAGACCTTGCATACTACAGATGTCAAACTAACAGGCCTGTAGTTACCCAGATTGCTTTTTTTACCTTTCTTAAAAATAGGAACTATGTTAGCAATCCTCCAGTCATACGGTACAACCCCTGAGTTTACAGATTGATTAAAAATTCTTGCTAATCGGCTTGCCATTTCATGTGCCAGTTCCTTTAATATTCTTGGATGAAGATTATCCAGCCCCCCAATTTAGTCCCATTAAGCTGTTTGAGTTTGGCTTCTACCTCGGATGTGGTAATATCTACCTCCATATCCTCATTCCCATTTGTTGTCCTACCATTATCCCTAAGCTCCTCATTAGCCTCATTAAAGACTGAGGCAAAGTATTTGTTTAGATATTGGGCCACGCCTAGATTATCCTTAACCTCCACTCCATCCTCAGTGTTAAGCAGTCCCACTTCTTTCTTTGTTTTCTTCTTATTTGTATGGCTATAGAACCTTTTACTATTGGTTTTAATTCCCTTTGCAAGGTCCAACTCTACATGGCTTTTGGCCTTTCTCACTTTATCCCTACATGTTCTGACCTCAATAAGGTAGCTTTCCTTGCTAATCCCTCCCATCTTCCACTCCTTGTAGGCTTTCTGCTTTTTCTTAATCACCTCTCTGAGATGCTTGCTCATCCAGCTTGGTGTACAACTCCTGCCTATGACTTTTTCCCCCTTTCTTGGGATGCAGGCTTCTGATAGTTTCTGCAACTTTGACTTGAAGTAATTCCAGGCCTCCTCCGCCTTTAGATCCACAAGTTTTTCAGTCCAATCCACTTCCCTAACTAATTTCCTTAATTTTTTAAAGTTAGCCTTTTTGAAATAAAAAATCCTAGTCACAGATCTATTTTTGTTTATCCTTCCATTTAGTTTTAACTGAATTAGCTCATGATCGCTCGAACCAAGGTTGTCCCCTACAATCATTTCTTCTGGGGTCCTCACTGCTTACCAAAACCAAATCTAAAATGGCATCCTCTCTTGTCGGCTCGGCAACTACTTGGTGAAGGAATCCATCAGCTACCGCATCCAGGAAAATCTGAGCCCTATTATTATTACTAGCACTTGTCCTACAGTCTATATTTGGGAAGTTAAAGTCTCCCATGATCAACAATTACCATTAGTATTTACTTCTTTAAAAACATTAAAGAGGTCGCTATCCATATCCACATCGGATCTCGGCGGTCTATAGCACACCCCATGCACTATCCCAGGGCAGGCTTTAGTAGCTTTCTTCTCCAGTGTGATGTTTGCCCAGACAGACTCTGTCTTATCCATTCCATCACTTCTTATTTCTTTACAGTCTACCTCATCATAGATATACAATGCTACTCCACCACCTTTGCCTTTATTTCTGTCTTTCCTAAACAGCACATACCCTTCAATTCCCGTATTCCAGTCATGACTACTATTCCACCATGTTTCTGTTATCCCTTCTTTCTGTTCTATTTCACTTCTTGCACCAGTAGCTCTAGTTCCTCCCCGTTTTGTTACCTAGGCTCCTCGCATTAGTGTACAAACATCTTAATTTGGGCCATTTGGCTTCACTCACATTCTTTACCCAATTGGGCACATACATTCTACTGCCAATATTACCTATTAGATTGGTATGTACACTGCCCTTCCGCCTTATGTCCATTCTCCTAACCACGGCTGTATCCTTTCTTGCTTCGTTTTCTTCCCTCTCAAAGAGAATAACTAGCGTGCAGGTTACCTGGACATCTCCCAACCATCTCCCCCGAATTCCTAGTTTAAAGCTCTCTTGATCGGTTATGCCATCCTCCATCCTAGAAGTCTATTTCCCTCCCTACTCAGGTGCAGTCCATCCCAAGAGAACAGTCCTCTGTCCATGAATGCTTCCCAGTGGCCATACATCCCAAAGCCCTCCTTATAGCACCACTGCCTGAGCCATCTGTTGAGCATCATAATCTTGTCACATCTTTTTTTGCCCTTCTCTAGGAACAGGCAGAATCCCACTGAAGATCACCTGAGCCTCGATTTCCTTTAGCGTCTTCCCCAGCCTGGCATAGTCTCCCTTGATATGTTCCAGCGAGAATCTAGCCATATCATTTGTTCCCACGTGAAGGATAATCAATGGATTCTTTCCCGCTCCCGTTAGGATCCTCTTCAGCCTCAGGTCCGCATCCCGTATCTTAGCACCCAGCAGACAGCACACCCTTCTGTTCTCTGGATCAGCTCTTGTTACAGGCCTGTCTATTCTTCTCAGCAATGAGTCCCCAATCACGTAGACCTGCCCTTTCCTGGCGATGATGCAATTCTCCAGTCTATCCCCTGTTCCATCTGGCCCCAAGTCCTCTCGATTCCTATTGTCCCCTGTAATCCTCTGCAACCCATCCCGTATCCTCCTGGGACTCATATGTGGTGTTATTTCCATTGACTCTTGCCCTCTTCCAATAGGACTATCTGCTCTTCTCTTTTTCCTTGCCCTCTCACCTTCAGTGACCATCTGCTGTGCCCCTTCTTCATTTTCCAACTCCGCAAACCTGTTCCTGAGCTCTGTTTCTCCTTCACTGCCCTGTCTTCTTCTCTGCCTGGTTCTCCTAGTCACATGCTTCCACTGTCCACTTTCCTCATCCAGCAGTATCCCCTCAGAGTTCTTTGGTCCTGCTTCCATCTGCAAGTCTGAGCTTTTCCCTTCAGCCTCCTCATGTCTTTGCTCCATCATCCACTTGAACCCCCTTCTAAACTCAGCCAGAGTCTCCACCTGCATCTCCAATCCTAGGATCTTCTCTTCCATCAGCTCTATCAGGCGGCACTTCATGCAGGCAAAATTCTTTTCAGGTACCCCCTCGAGGATCATGTACATGCCACAGCTTCTACATCCAGTCATCTTCATTGTCTTCCACTACTTGGGTCACGACCACTGCTGCCTCTGTGTCTGTCATAGCCTTCTCACCTAAGTCCTGTTAGTCTGGGACTCAGTTTAGGAAGAAATTTAAGCCTGTATACAACTTGCATGCTTAAAGTTAAGTACATGTTTTAGTACCTTTCTATTGGGCCATACTGTAGGTAGACATTCACCACATATGTAGTACTGGCTCCAAATTTGTATTATGGTGTCAATAACCAGAATACAACTAAAAATACTCCTTATGAGGAATCAATTGTCTTGAATCTTATCAATAGCACATTTTACTGTCTTTTTAATATTACTATTCCATAATAATTCAATTAACCCATATAACGCTGTGTTTATATAACATTGGGCCAAGTGCTGCCCTGTGCAGGAAAAAAACTATATAGGGGCACAAACTTACATTTTCTTTCAAGTCACGCTGCTGGGGGCGTGGGATTTGCCATCCTGCAGAATACACAGGAGGGTTGGATCCCTAATTTGCAGGTATCTATGATCTGTGAAAAACTCCAGTGTCTCCCACACTGCTTTCTATACCCCTGGGATCAAAGCTCTGAAGGAATTGTTGTCATGTAGTTCCTAGCAGATGGTGTCTTGAAAAGTACAGAAGTCCACAATATATGATTTAGCCACTGAGATATGTCTAGATATAACTGGTGAGCTTGTGGTGACAGACATAATCTTTTAAGAATAATTTTGTATAGTATCTGGTAAACTGTTTAAATGCTAGTGGTAGTTTAGCTATGATCTTGTATTAGTTTAACAGTAAAACAAGGTATACTTGTAGTTTATAATCACACTTTACTGCAGTGAAAAATGATGATGCTACCAGAAGAGGCCAGCAAAAGATAGCAGTTTTTAAAAAAGCATATTCTACACTGGGAACAGATTGTGTTCATGTTACACCATAGAGCTGCTGACCTTTAGATTCTTGGTAGCAGAGTTGACCAGAAACCAAACTTTGTTTGGTTAAATCCTCATCTGTCATTTTATATTCTAGGGGTCCAGGAGGTGGTAGACCGTGGCCAAACCCAACGAATGCCAATTCTGTAAGTAAATATTCAAGTGTGTTGGACAGTATCCTATGTTTGAGGAGTTATTCCTCCTTAATATGCCCATGTACAGAAAAAAAAACCTATATTCAGCAAATAGAATAGTGCAGGCCATATTTTGTTGCCCTCTGTACTATTTTTTTCCAACCCTAATGCATGGGTTCTCCAGCTTTTTTTGCAGCATGGACCACATCTTAATAGAGAGCTTCTAGTAGACCACCTTTCCTCCCACTCATGATTGTGCAGACCATCTGCTCTCCTGTTCATAATCACATAACAGCTCTGAGGCAACTACAGCAAATTGCCCAAAGGAAAAATTAACATTAGCATAGTATTTAATATATTTTTAGCTTTTTCAGTGCAATATAACACAATAGAATAGGAGTCAGCACCATCTGACTAACCAGCTCTACATAGACCACAGTTTGATAAGATGTGCTCTAATGTATCGTCTGATGGCTTATATATGGAAAAAACATATTAATTTCTGTACCACTCAAATCATAAAATCATAGTGTAATTTCTCAAAACATGATCCATTTGATAGCTTGAACAATTTAATTTTGGCCTTCATGAAAAGTAATACACTCTCCAAATTAATAGGCTGCAACAGCTACAAAATGAGGTTGTTCAATAGCTGCTTAGGACAAGAACAGTTTGGTAATGCCCACCCTCCATGACTTGTCCTGGCTGCTAGCCTGACAGAAACTTCAAGTTCAAGGGGTTAGTTTTAGAAAGCACAGTGAAACTCTTCATAATCTGTACCCAAAGTACTTGAGTGAACACGTATCATCATATATCCCTACTTTGTATTTACAGTAGGCTAGGGTGCATCTGCTGTTACTAGACCCTATTTCTGGCTGTCCCTAGGACATGGTGTATCAAGTTTATCCTTGATTGGGATTTATTTATGTATTTATTGGTGGGTAGGAAGAGGAGTGTTTCCTATGTTCTTTTGTGATTTTTTGTTTTGTTTTGTATTTGCTATCCTCTTGTATATTCCTTTTCTATGTAGGAATTGATCCTTGTAGTTTGACAGTATGGCTTCTGTGTGGTTTGCCATTGTGCCAGATCTTTGGGTTCAGATTGGCTGTATATTTGGGTAAATTATTTCCTCATTTTGACTTTAGTGGTGTTTACTGATTATTGTACATGTAATGCAATAAATGTTTAAAATACATTTATCAAAGTCACAGGGGAGTTAGGTGCCCAACTTTCATTGAGCGTTGGGTGCTTAACTCTCCTTCTTTATTTGAAAATCTCCCCCTACATATTTTCTCTCTCTCTGTATTATGCTTACCTGTCATATAATTCAGAGGTACAGCTCAGTTTACAGTAATATTAACTTTGTGGAATGTGGATCATGATACGCTAATGTCAAATCTATACACACACCCAAAATAAAAAGTACACAAAATCTATGGCACTGTGAACTTGAGCCTGGCAGTTTTTCATAATAATAATAATGTACAAAAAGAAAAAGAGCTCAATGTTGCATGACTGAGTTACAAATAAGTAAATGTAGGCTTTAACTTGCATTTTCCCAGCTTTTAGTGTGACAGCCTTAATATTCTTTTTTTGTTTTAAATGTCTTGATTGTTTTTAAATAAGGTAGAGAAGATTATTCTGCTATGGAATTTTATGTTTATTAAATTCAATATGCAAGGACATGCTAGAGACCAGATATAGACCATGATTCATGAAAACACTTAAGTACATAAGCAAGTCATTGAAATTTAAGCACATGCACAAGTGCTTTCTTGAATATGGATATTTTCCTGAATTGTGATCTTTGGCATTGACTTAAAATATGCATTATCTACCTGATCAGAATGAAATCAGGGAAATAGTTATAGTATGTAGACAGAATTTTAAAACCCACTAAATAGAAATTAGTCCTTTTAAACTATTGTAATCTGACATGAAAGTACACATCTAGGACAAGCCCTATGCATATTTTAGTTACTAATCTTTAATTAAAGGTAAACAGATTTGTTGACATTTTCTTTTATAAGCAGGAAAAAGGGGGTGTCAGAGCATACAAGACAAGAGTATACAGTTGAAGTAGTTCAGATTATGGTTTGACTTAAACCTACAGTATATGCTGATTTTATAAAAAGTTATATCAGTGATTGTTTTAACTGAGTTTATGCCACCTGCTCTATATTTCATCAAATAGTTTAGTTGTTAGCCTTATAGATGTAGCTCCACAGGTCTTTCCATTTAAAACATACCTACCAGAAAAACATGCCCTCTCCCCCCCCTCCCACCCCCACCCAAAAAAAAATTCAGAGAAATGGATAGACTTGATTGCTATATACATTTTTGAAAAATATACTAAATAGAAACAAGGCATTGCCCCATACATGAGGCTCATGGCAATTCCATAGCTGAGCCTGTAGTGAAGTCAGGGACCTTCTCTCTTAACCATTATGTTTATTCAGATTTTGTAATAGATTTTTAATTGTTAGAGATGGGGAGGAGGGGAAGAGTAGTTTTAAAAGAAGGCCATAATGCATATCTTCTCTTTGCCTCCCAATGAACTGATGTTAAAGGAGAGCTTAAGGGAGTCTGAGACAGTGCAGGAGCAGGGGAAACAATAAGTTTATGGAGGGGATGGTATGATGGGATAGCCTAATTTTGGCAATTAATTGATCTTTGACTACTAGCAGTAAATATGCCCAATGGCCTGTGATGGGACACTAGATAGGGTGGGATCTGAGTTACTACAGAGAATTCTTTCTTAAGTGTCTGGGTGGCGAGCCTTGCCCGCATGCTCAGGGTTTAGCTGATCGCCATATTTGGGGTCGGGAAGGAATTTTCCTCCAGGGCAGATTGGCAGAGGCCCTGGGGGTTTTTCGCCTTCCTCTGCAGCATGGGGCACGGGTCACTTGCTGGAGGATTCTCTGCACCTTGAAGTCTTTAAACCACGATTTGAGGACTTCAGTAGTTCAGACATAGGTCGGGGGTTTGTTACAGGAGTTGGTTGGTGAGGTTCTGTGGCCTGCGTTGTGCAGGAGGTCAGACTAGACGATCATAATAGTCTCTTCTGACCTTAAAGTCTATGATTCTATGAAATATAGAACAAGATGCATGTTGAACATTACCACTTGCTCAGTTGTTTGCCACTGTTGCATCTGATTCCCCGTGTTTGTCAACTCAATGTCTGTTTAGATTGTAAGTTCCCCAGAACAGAGACCTTGATCTAAACTCTCTTTTAAAATGTGGCTCCTCTGCTATTCCAGTAACATAAAGGTGGCCCTTGCAGAACACACCTGACATAGTGAGAGGCTGAGCTATCTATGTACTTATAGCCTTCATTACTGTGGTAACTGAACACCTCACTTATAGTAAAGAGTTTTTATCCTCACAATATCCCTGTGATGTAGAGAAGTATCATCCCCATTTTACAAATGGGGAACTGATGCACAGAGTAGATTAACTGATTTACTCAAGGTCACACAGGAAGTCTTTGGCTGACCTAGGAATTGAACGCAGATCTCTTTAGGCTTACTTAGGCCAATACCTTTTGCACTACGATCGGGGGTGCTCAAACTTCATTGCACCGCAACCCCCTTCTGACAACAAAATTACGACATGACCCCGGGGGCTGGAGGGGTGTAAAAGCCCAAGCCCCGCTCGCCCAGGTGATGGGAGAGGAGGCCAGAGCCCAAGCCCCACCGCCCCTGGTGCGGGTAGAGCTTGGGCTTCAGCTTCAGCCCTGGGTCCCAGCAAGTCTAATGCTGGCCCTGGTGACCCCATTAAAATGGGGTTGCGACCCACAGTTTTAGAGCCGCTGCTACATTATCTATCCTCCTCTGACTCTATAGCAGGGGTGGGCAAACTTTTTGGCCTGAGGGCCACATCTGGGTGGGGAAATTGCTTGCAGGGCCAGGGCAGAAGGTTGCGGTGGGAGGGGGTGTGGTGTGCAGGAAGGGACTCAGGGAAAGGGGTTGGGGCAGAGCAGGGGTGCAAGGTGTATGGGGGGCTCAGGGAAGAGGGTTAGGGCACAGGAGGGGTGTGGAGTGCACGAGGGGGCTTAGGTCAGGGGGTTGAGGTATAGGAGGGGTGCGGGGTGCAGGAAGGGGCTCAGGGCAGGAGGTTAAGGTGCAGGAGGGGTGTGGGATGTGGCAGGGGGCTCAGGGCAGGGAATTGGGGTGCAGGAGGGGTACGGGGTGCAGGAAGGGGCTCAGGGCAGGGGGTTGGGTGCAGGAGGGGTGTGGGATGTGGCAGGGGGCTCAGGGCAGGGAATTGGGGCGCAGGAAGGGTATGGGGTGCAGCAGGGTGCTCCGGGCAGGGAGTTGGGGTGCAGGGTGCAGGAGGGGTTCAGGCTTCGGCCCGTCTCCGCTTACCTAGAGCAGCTCTGGGGTAGCAGCGGCTTGCACCAGGGCCAGGGCAGGCTCCCTGCATGCCTGTCTCCCAGCCCCGGCACTGCACCACTCCAGGAAGTGGCCGGCACCACATCCCTGCGGTTCCTGGGGGTGGGGGCACAGAGGGCTCTGCATGTTTCCCTCACCTGTGGGTACCTCCCCCGAAGCTCCCATTGGCCACGGTACCCCGTTCCTGGCCAATGGGAGCTTTGCAGGAGGTACCCACAGGCACGAGCAGCATATGGAGCTCTCTGCCCCCCCATCCCCACCCCCAGGGGTTGCAGGGATGTGGTGTGGCTGCTTCCAGGAACGGCACAGAGCCTGCGGCGGTGGCAATTCTGCTGGCCGGATCCAGCCCGTGGGCTGTAGTTTGCCCACCCCTGCCCTATAGTCAGCCTCAGGGCTGGCCCTAGATGTTTTTGCTGGCCTGGGTAGAAATCATTTACAGCACCTCCCTTGGAGCAGCCAAGCTTAAAAACCTCCAAAATTCAGCTGGGTCTATGCTATTCCTTCCTGCCCCTTGCACAGAAGATTTGTCAGGGAATGGCCAGTGTAGGAAGGAAGGAAACAGGGTGGGATTTCTGGAGTATAGTGCACTCTGGCTCTTTTATGCCAGCATAATAATGTATAGATTTCAGACAATAAGCCATATTGCAATGTGGAAATCTCACAAAGTCAGTGCTGGTAGACCTTTTACTTGGGATATTAAAAGCTAGATTGAACTAACACTAGAAATTATACTGTAAGGATCCGATGAAGTGAGCTGTAGCTCACAAAAGCTTATGCTCAAATAAATTGGTTAGTCTCTAAGGTGCCACAAGTCCTCCTTTTCTTTTTGCGAATACAGACTAACACGGCTGTTACTCTGAAAACTGTAAGGATTAATTCTGCTTTGATGGGGAGATGGACAGGAAGGTGCATAATAGATTTTTGCATCACTCACTTCTAATATTCTGTAATGATTCCCATAAAATTAAGTCTATCTTAATTTTTTTCAATTTCTCATACATTCTGAAGGAAGTCCATCCTTCACAGATTAGATGCCAAGAGGCAGTTCACATCTTCAATGTGTGAGAGTTTCAGAACATCACAATGTGGGTTCTGAGGATAAATGCAATGGGTTTAAAATAACGTTTTTTCCATTTAATAGTGGGGTGTTTTTCAGTGGCCAGCTGAATCATGAGTGGGAAAGATGTGGACCAGACTATGAAAATGTTTGACAACTCCTGCCTTAGATACATTTATAAAATATTATCTGTCATCTGCAGTCAGATAAGAAACTTCTTTTGGCAAAGTGATTTTCCAGTTTCTTAATTCTCAGCTCAACTTCCTGAGCTGTTACTCTCCAGTATCCTATAGAGAAGATCTATAGAAGTTATTTAATGAAGAGGAAAACTGTATTACTTGCCAGCAGCTGGAGTTCTCAAATCTCCACAAATTGAATTTAATGTTCAATTGGGACACTGACTCTTTAAAAAGAAAGTTGTTTCCTCAAGCATGTAGAAAGAATACCATCAGTGTCCCTTGAGATCAAAGAGAGTGTCATCTTGTAGTTCTTGATTCAGTTAAAGACTTAATCACAAGTTTAAGTCCATCACTGTTCCCTTTCTTAAGTCCCATCGACTTAAAGTTAAGCACATGCTTAATGCTGTCCTGAATTGGGCTAATACTCATATAACCTCACTACTAACCTTTTGCCACAAGTTAATGGATCTTTATATTGGATTATTGTGGTTCCTGCAGATGAAGCCTGAAGACGATACTGGTGGGTGCAAGTAACATAACTTGTACCACAGGTTGCAACCTACCTTTTTAAAAAGTAACAATGGCTTCTCAGCATTCACACATCATAGAATGTGGATCTAAAGGGGCTAGTGATTAAGACCCTGATATTGCAGACACTCAAGCATGTATATTACTCAGTCATATTGACTTCTATAGGGTTACTCAGGTGAGCAGAGTTACACACATGCGTAAGTGTTTTGCAGGATTAGGGCCTGAGAAGGCACCAATGTCTTGACTGCAACCTGATTATTTACAGTGCAAGACACAACAAATATATTACTATGTAGGAGTTGGGAAACAGCAATCTTAAATTGGAATATTAAGTATCTTTTATTTAATTCTCTTTGACTGTGACTCTGTACTGCTCTTTTCACTATAGAGTAACCTTACAGTGAGATGTTTCCTAGACAGCATTATGTTTAACATCAGTATTTTCTCCCTATCCTCTGCCTGTTCTCTAAAAATTAATTTTAAAAATGTGCTTCAAAATAAGATCCTCAATACATTTTGGTATGGAGTGCATTTCTCCATCTTAATGGAAAATAAATATATTATTTTGTTTTGCTTTATATTCTAGATACCGTACTCTTCAGCATCTCCTGGGAATTATGTAGTAAGTACCCTTGTGTGTGTTTGCTCATTAGAATTGATGTTACATGTTATTTAGGCACAGAAATAGTCGTCCAGATGTTAAGAAGAACCCTTGTGTATTGGTTGAGAAGTGAACATCTGATCCGTGTTTAGTTGTTTTGTCTGCCATCTACAGCACATATGTTGGTGTTCATTACTAGAACAGTTATCAGTCTGGTCAAAATTGCCTTGAGTGCTGTGGTTTACTTCAGCATATGTTTCTGTAACCAATGCAATACTTCAATACTTCAATATAAAAGGAGAAAAAAACTGCCTTTTCTTGGTGACACAATAATGTGCTTGAATTTTTGAAGCTCTGCAGAAAAAATTTCATTGGAAGAACTAGAAAAGCTTAAACCTCCCAAAAGATATGTAGCACATCACTTAAAAAGACACTCACAGCTAATGTTTTATGGGACATTTTTACTCTCTGTTGCTTATAATTACCTCCTGAAGGCCTGAAAACTCTTTTTTTCAACAACTACCTGAGTGCTACCCTGTCAGCTGCTGGGTCCCGGTCACTGAGAGCTACAAGGGGTAAAACAACCACTATCTTATATTCCTCAAGGTCCTAGTCACTGAAAGCTTTGGGGGATGAGAAGTCTATATCTGTACTTGTGGAACTGATAGCCTTGCACTCAAAGCTGACAAGTATCATCAAGAGGAGCATGACCATTAGATCTCCGTTAAAGACATCTCAGTCCCTGTAGACCTTAGACTCCAGAATGGGTGTTACTGAGGCTCCAAGTGCGTCCTGTACCATAGAGGTGTCTAAGAGCCATGCCTCTTCCAAACAAGACCCAGTACTGAAGACTTTCTCTGTTACAGGTCACAACCATATTAGCAGACATTCTACGATGAAGAGATCAGCACCATCTGGCTCTCTGGTGTCCTCGGTACCTGCTTTGATACCCTGGTCTGCATCTCCTGAATAAATGTTTGTGTAGGCTCACCTTATGGCACATACTAGCCAGATATCCACCTTGGTACTGATATCAACCTCCATCATTCCTCTGGTACCACAGGAGTTCTGGTACTCAAGAGACCTCTTTGTACCTAATGAACCAGAGTCTTCTCTACGGTCTGCTTCTGCTCATCCTTCAGTACCAGGATCCTCTGGGTCACTGAAGGCACTTTTCTCATTAAGACTTCCCTGATTCCCTGACTTCTACCATCCAGGGAGAGCACTTATCACCTCCCATGAAATATACTGAAGGATATTCTGACTCCGACTCCGAACTCTGTATTCAGGAATCTCTTGTTTATTCAATGGGTCATTATTCTTCTCCATATGTGGAGAGAAGGGAGGAGAGGTGACCTTGACCTCCAGCCGCCTGAGGTGACCAACAGTGGCTACCTCTTCCTCCCATATCTTATGGTCCATCTCATTGGCGTTATTGGGATCCATGGGCCCCATACTGTCAACAACATCTGACGGGGGAAGGGGGAAGTTCACTCTGCAGTGAGCATAGAAACTTTTGCTCTTCCTTACCTTCACTTCCTCCTCCACTTGAAGAACAAGAGGTAAGGGCTGATAAGGAAGTAAAACCTCATACGAATATTTCATTGTCATCATTAGATGAGGCTGTAATGTTTCCACCACCTTCCATAGCACATGACATTAAACAATTCCAGGACTTGAGGAAGTGAATTGTGGATAGGCTTCAGAATTCTTGTGAAGAAGTCCAGGGCCCCCATCATAAACTCCTGAACATTTTACACATTTCAGCTTAGGCATGCATGCCACTCCCAGTTAATGAGACTCTTTAGAGCCAGACAGGACCATCTGGCAGACTTCGGCTGTGGCACCTCCAATTTGCAAATGTGCTGACAGGAAATGCTATGTCCCAGAGGAGAATTCAGAATTTTTATTTTCACCTCCCTCACTGAATTCCTTGGTTGTGGATGCAGTTAATGAGTGCAGGAGGCAACACAACACAAAAACTACCCCATAAAATAAAGACCAGAAGAGATCTATACTCCTGTAAATAAGAAAAATATAGCAGGTCTCAAACAGTCCAGAGGTCATGCCCAGCCCATTTTTCTGGTTTCTGTAGAACTCCTGAACCACAAGCTGAGACCGAGGTAGTCAAAGAAGAAAACATCTACTACAACCACTACATCGCAGCCACCAGCGTTGTCCAAGTGTCAGTTTTGATGAGTCTAAACCACCCATTTCACACAAATCTGCTGCTGCACTAACCAACCCTCTTCCCTGCCATTGGATTCTGCCTCTCCCATCTTCAAGCCGCCTGTGAGACAATAACATTCAACAAATGGATTTTGAAGGTTGTAATTCCTATTCCATCCGTTTCACCTCCATCTGTCCCTCCAACCCTCTTCCCTGTTCCTTTTCAGGGGACCCATCTGACGATCAGTTGCTGAATCAGCAGGTTCATAGAATCATAAACTATCAGGGTTGGAAGGGACCTCAGGAGGTCACCTAATCCTACCCCCGGCTCAATACGGGACCAATCCCCAGCTAAATCATCACAGCCAGGGCTTTGTCAACCCTGAGATTAAAAACCTCTAAGGAAGGAGATTCCACCACCTCCCTAGGTAACCCATTCCAGTGCTTCACCACCCTTCTAGTGAAAAAGTTTTTCCTAACATCCAACCTAAACCTCCTCCACTGCAACTTGAGACCATTACTCCTCGTTCTGTCGTCTGGTACCACTGAGAACAGTTGAGATCCATCCTCTTTGGAACCCCCTTTCGGGTAGTTGAAAGCAGCTATCAAATCCCCCCTCATTCTTTTCTTCCGCAGACTAAATAATCCCAGTTCCCTCAGCACAGTCATGTGCTCCAGCCCCCTAATCATTTTTGTTGCCCTCCACTGGACTCTTTCCAATTTTTCCACATCCTTCTTGTAGTGTGGGGCCCCAAACTGGACACCGTACTCCAGATGAGGCCTCACCAATGTCGAATAGAATGGTCACGTCCCTCGATCTGCTGGCAATGCCCCTACTTATACAGACCAAAACGCCGTTAGCCTTCTTGGCAAGAAGGGCACACTGTTGACTCATATCCAGCTTCTTGTCCACTGTAACCCCTAGGTCCTTTTCTGCAGAACTGCTGCCTTGCCATTCGGTCCCTAGTCTGTAGGAGTGCATGGCATTCTTCCGTCCTAAGTGCGCTTGTTCTTGTTGAACCTCATCAGATTTCTTTTGGCCCAATCCTCCAATTTGTCTAGGTCACTCTGGACCCTATCCCTACTCTCCAGTGTATCTACCTCTCCCCCCAGCTTAGTGTGATCTGCAAACTTGCTGAGGGTGCAATCAATCCATCCCATCATCTGGATCATTAATGAAGATATTGAACAAAACCGGCCCCAGGACCGACCCTTGGGGCACTCCGCTTGATACCAGCTGCCAACTAGACATGGAGCCATTGATCACTAGCCATTGAGCCTGATGATCTAGCCAGCTTTCTATCCACCTTATAGTTCATTCATCCAGCCCATACTTCTTTAACTTGCTGGCAAGAATACTGTGGGAGACCGTATAAAAAGCTTTGCTAAAGTCAAGGAGTAACACATCCCCTGCTTTTCCGTCATCCACAGAGCTAGTTATCTCATCATAGAAGGCAATTAGGTTAGTCAGGCCTGACTTGCTCTTGGTGAATCCATGCTGACTGTTCCTGATCACTTTCCTCTCCTCTAAGTGCTTCAGAATTGATTCCTTGAGGACCTGCTCCATGATGTTGCCTCTCTCCTACGTTTAGGGGCCATAGAACCAATTTCACTTTAGCACCAGGGAAAAGGGTTCTTCTACTCCAAGTAATTTCTGGTCCCCCAAAAAATGGGGGATGGAAACCAATATTATATTTTAGGTATTTCAACAACTATATGAAACAACAGAAATTCAGGATGGTGACTCTTGCAGCTATAATTCCTTTTCTAGATTCTGGGGATTGGTTTGTGACACTCTATCTTCAAGACATGTATTTCCATATTGTGATTCACCTCTCTCACAAGAGGTTTCTTCCATTTACAGTCAGTCACAAACATTTTCAATACACTTTCAGCCTCTCCTCTGCCCCAAGGTATTCTCAAAGGTGATGAAAGTCAGAGCCATTCACCAATGTCCTCTAGGCATTATTGTCTTCCCTTATCTCAATGAGTGGTTACTCCAGGGCCAATCCAATCAGGAGGTCCTATCAACACTATAGACGACATGTTCCTTGTTTCACACCTGAGGTGTCCAGATCAATCTTGTAAAGTCCTTTTTGATCCTGGTTCAACAGATCGATTTCATAGGAGCCTCTCCAGATGCCATGATAGCCAGGGCTTACCTACCTGTGACAGGTTTGTGGTTCTGCAGACTCTTATTGCAAAGATTCAGTTAAGTCCTCACATTTTGGCAAGGAATTGTCTTCAGCTATTGGGCCATATGGTGGCATGCATATTTGTGAGCTAGCATGTCACATCCTGTCTCTACTGTCTCCAGTGGCAGAACTCAGTAGAAGAACCCATCCAAATTCTGTTTGGGAATCCCCTTCTTTCAACCCCCTCCAACCACCATTATCTGTTCAGGTATCCCTCTTGGGATGGGGAGTGTATCTTGGTCCTCACATCTCCAAGGCAAGTGTCTTCCCAAGAGAGTCATCTACATGTCAACATTCTGGAATTGAGGCAGTCAGGAATGCTAGCTCCCACTTTCTCCCACTGATCAAAGTCAATTCAGTCAAGATCGTGACAAACAACGTGGCCTGCATGTTCTACATCAATCGTCAGGGTGGGGCGTGTTCCCCCTCACTCTGTGCTGAAGCAGTGAAACTCTGGAGTTGGCGCATTACCAACCACACAGCTATCTTAGCTTCTTACCTCCACAGCATACAAAACGATACTGCCAACCACCTAAGCAGACACTTTTCTCAGTTACAACTGGGAGTTGGATTCATGAGTCCTCCAGAGTATATTTCTAACCTGGGGACTTCCAGAGGTGGATCTTTTTGCTACTGCCACCAATGTAAAGTGTAAGAAGTTTTACTCTGGGCAAGACTTGATTCTGCATCTAGGATGTGTTCCCACCAGTGCCATTGATCTTGAAAGTTCTCAACAAGATCAAGCAGGACAAGGCCAAAATCCTTTTGACTGTACCAACTTGGCCAAGACAAGTTTGGTACCTTACCTGATTCAAGTCACATCTTGTCCGCTGCTGAGACTTCCTCTAGATTACCACCTGTTGTCTCGGGATGCTAGTTGGACACTTCACCCCAATTTGGACATTTTGTGACTTTAAGCATGGCTAGATGGTTCTTGGGGTTAGAGATTTCCTGCTCAACAGCAGTATAACAGGTTTTGTTAAATAACGGAAAAACTATTCTAGAAAAACTATTAGAAATACCTTCAGAAATGGAAGAGATTTCACCTATGGTGTGTCCGTCGACAAGTGCTTCCTATCTGTTCTTTTCTTTCCACCATTCTGGAATACCTGTTAGAATTAAAAAGATCAGTATGAGTTCTTCCAAGGTTCACTTGGTGACTAACAGCTTTTCACTCATCAGTGGAAGGTTTTTTGATTTTTGCTTACCCCATAATCTCAAGATTTGTTAAAGACCTGATGAGTCTTTATCCATAGGTTAGAAAGCCTGCCCCAGTATGGGATTAAAACCTAAAATGGCCTTATGACACACCCCTTTGAACCATTAGCTACATGTTTTCCACTCCACTTCTCCATGAAAACAGCTTTCTTGGAGGGCATCACTTCCACATGGAGAGTGAGAGAATGGGGGACTCTAATAGCAGATCCCCCCCTTTACAGTATTTTTCAAGGAAGAGATTTCAAAATGGCCACATCTCAAGTTCCTACCCAAAGTGTCCTCTGAGTTTCATCTTAACCAGACCATTCATTTACTGTTTCTCCCCAAAACCACATCATTTCAAACAGGAAGCTACTTTTCCATTCCTTAGATGTCAGAAGGGTGATAGATCTTTTATCTAGACTGGACCAAAGCATTTTGAAAGTCTCCCAGACTGTTTTGATTTAGGACAGATGTAAAAGTTCCACTATCTCCACCCAAAGGCTCTCAAGGTGAATCTCTGGATGTATAATTTCATTTTATGACTCCGCCAACATCTAACCTCCTTCTAGTGTGTTAGCCCATTCTACCATGTTACAGTCTATGTCTATGACATTACTCAAGGATGTTCCAGTTGCTGACATTTTCAGAGCTGAACTAGGGCTTCAGTACATACTTTTTCCAAGAACCATGCTTTGGTTCATACCTCTAGGTCAGATGTGGCAGTTGGCAGTGCAGTTCTGTCTTCAGTATTGGAGTCTCTTCTGAAGCTCCCACCATCCTGTTGGAATACTGTTTGGGAATTATCTGAAATGGAGCACCCATACGGACATTACTTGAAGAAAGAGAGGTTACTCACCCTGTGCAGTAACTGGAGTTCTTTGAGATGTGTGTCCCTGTGGCTGCTCCACTACCTGCCCTCCTTCCCTTCTGCTTCGGAGTTTCCCTGGCGGGACTTTGTGGTAGGGAAGGAACTGAGGACAGTTTGCCCGTGCACCCTAGATATTGTCCCTGTGGGGCATGAGGATGTGTAGGGCTGAACGGGCACCACTACTGATGATCTTTTCTCAAAAGCATGGGGGGGCACAAGCACACCTGACATGAAGCACCCAGAGGAACACACACCTTGAGGAACTCCAGTTACTGTATGAGACGAATAACCTCTCCTTCTGGTGCGCACAGTTTTTTCCTAACACTTTGTATTTTTTGACTTTTTTAAAGGGTGTTGAAAAACTGGAGCGAGTGCACCAAAAAGCCTCAAAAATTACTTGAGGGCTGGAGAAAATTCCTTATAGTCAGAGACTTAATGAGTTCAGTTTGTTTAATTTATCGAAAAGAAGAGAGGTGACTTGATTACAATGTACCTTTATGGGAGAAAATACTGGGTACTGAAGGGCTTTTTAATTTAGCAGACAAAGGCATAAAAAGCAGCAGTGGCTGGAAGCTGAAACCAGATAAATTCATGTTTAAAAAATTGGGACACATTTTTAATAGTGAGGGTGATTAGCCATTGGAACGAACTACCAAGTGTCATGGTAGATTCTCCATCAGTGTCAATTTTTAAATCAAGATTGGATATTTTTCTAAAAGTTACGCTCAAGGGAGGATTTTGGGAAAGTTCCAGGGCTTGCATCACGTAGATCAGACAAGATGATCACAGTGGTCTCTTCTGGCCAGTTAATCTACACAGGGATAACTGGATGAAATTGACTGGCCTCTGATACACAGGAGGTCATATTAGATGATCTAATGGTCCCTTATGGTCTAAACTCCATGAATCTATGACATCTTTAGTGGAACAAATCTTGTTAGTAGACACAGGAGGCACTCCATGGTCTTTCTCAATACACTACTGAGGGAGATGTGCAGGAAAGAGACTGGTAGTTGGTAGGTTACATTGCCAATCATTTAAGGGGTCAGAAGTGTATGTGTGTGTATGTCTGTAGATTGGTGGTATTCAGGGACATATTATTATTGGATAACAGATTTGTGTTTAGAATAAAGTTATTTGTTAAGTTTATTCAGTAACTTGCAGCCAGCAGTATTAACCCACAATTATCTCAAGTATTTTATTTGTACCAGCTCAGAGGCAGGGGCAGCAATGACTAATGCAGCATTACTGACTTTGATTATAGCATACACCTGGAAATAGTGTTCATGAATGCATTGCTGCTGCTTCAGAACCAGTAAATGGTGTGTTTTGTAGGGCACACAAAGATTTTTTTCAATTGTTCCAATTCCAAAACTTCCCCCTTCCTTCCAAAAATGTGTTGGTCATATTACAGCAAATCTCAGCAATGCCCCTTCAAGCAAACAGTTTCACACTTTGAAATCTCAGTATGCTCCATGACATGAAGTGAACAGAATGGATATTGAAACAAAATCATTCTTTTTTATAGCAACTGTTCTATTTTTAAATATTAATACAGACCTATGACAATGAAAACTGCCTTCTAGTAATAGCAATTTATAGCATTTTTATTATGGAAAATTTCTGGGTTAATTTTTTATTGTATATTAGAATATTTGAATCAAAACTGTAACCAGTCAAGTTTTCATTTTACTTCAAGATATTACTGTAGCTGCAAATGTGGTACACAAGAAATTATGGTGCTGATGAGCTAAAGAATTAAGTTGTTTAGCACAAAACAATAGGAGTAATTTTTTAAAAGAAAACAAAAAGAACAGCTTGTTTAATAACCAGTGCAGTTTGTTTAAATGGTTTGTTTTCACAGAAAAAATTGCAACACAGAAATACAGATAATTAACAGAAAAAAAGAAAATAGATATTTCTTATTTTTAAATGGATTTAGCAAATACTAGATGAGCTCCCGTTCTCTTTTATCTGTAATGTAATAGCTATATATCTGCAGATCTGGACTCAGATTTACCAAGCTGATCTTGTGCTGACACTTTGTCATTAATCTCAAGTCATTTATCCTGAGTTATATGTGTACAAATATGAAAAAAGAGAATGTGTGATGTTTTATGAACTGAATTAAATTTATCAGGACCTGGATCTACCAAAGTTTGATCCACACATCTCACAGAAAGAGACTTCTTTCCAGTGGCTGGACTTCCATTGAACACCTCTTCTACTCCCATGTGATCTCTGTACTGTGTGACAGCAGGTAGTAGCTTATTCTGCCAGTGTTGACACTACAGTTAGCAGCCTGCTGCATCACAGTCAGTGAGGAGAGAGCAATACCAGCTGGAAAACTGGCTATAGTAGAGGTGGGTTCAGAGAATCAGCTATGTATTAACAGCCCTGGACCCTGAACAAAGCATTGCTTCTGTACTCCAGTACTGGCAGACAGTAGCAGATTTGAGCAGTGGATCTTTCTGGATCTATGGATCTGCACATATTGGGATTCAGGGCTTGAGCTTGCAGATCCATGGCACTAGCTTTTGTCTGCCCTTGAGTAAATTCACTGGTTTACAAGAAAATAGACGATGGAGTACGTCTTTCTTTTGTTCTATGGAAATGTGTTCCTTTTCACCAAAACAACACACAACCTTTATGATGTGCTTTTGTCACTTGGATTATCTTCAATCTTTACAGTAATATTTTTTCTTTTATGTTAACGGAATATTTTCTACCCTTTTTAGGGTCCTCCAGGGGGTGGAGGGCCACCAGGAACACCCATCATGCCTAGTCCTGCAGGTATCCAAATCTAATCAGAAAATTTAAAGACAATGTAAATAACATTCTGTGGGCAGGGGTGGGGTGTGGGGAGTAGGTAATATACAGATTCAGTATTCCAGTTCTTCCTGTGCCCATTTGCTACCAGTGCAGAATAATCCACATTATATATATTTCAGCAAGCAACAGCCAATAAAAAGCTCTCACTTTTGCACTCTTCTTCTCTCTCTCCCTTCCTCCCTCCCTCCTCAGACTTCCTCCTGCTTTGCTGGAGAGAGGCAATATGGTTGGTAATTTGATTTTACTGGCTCCTTCCAGGGCTCTCAAGACTATTTTTTCTGGTCTCCATTAGCAACAGGAAGGAAGAAGAGAGATAAAACGGAATGTGCATTGTTTCTGCTAGTGTTGTTCAGTGCACATTTGCCAGCAACTTTTATGTATCCTGTGAGACTGTCCCTGGAGTATCCTGCTTAAAGTGGGAGTTTAAAGGAGTGTCCCGTAGCTTCAGCTCAGCCAGCTAGCTCTGCATTAAGAAGAGTGGCAAGTGTTTCCCTACATCAAGGTTTTCCAAAGTTCCTGACGTGAACAAAGAATCGGAAGAGGTTGTGGAGGGTGGACACACACAAGACTTCCTCTCTTCCCATGGATAGCATCAGGGACCTGGTAAGCAGGAAGTGTTTGCCTCTGATCTGGGGTCCCGACTTAACCGATCTTCACTAGATCAGTCAGACTTCTTCTGGGAATCTTCCACTCCTAAGAAGCACATCTCCTTCTCATCCTCCTTTCATCAACCAAGAGGTCATTGATCGCCACTTCTAGAGACCTTTCCATCTCTGTGACACCTTACGTCGTCAGATCCACATATTCCTACCTCCCTGCCATCATTACTTGCACAAAGGATAGGGAAGTCCTTTTTAAGAGACAGAAGCAGAGCTTCCCAACCCTTCCATGGAAGTTTTCCTGTACTGATGGAAAAACCTCATTAAATATGTGGCTAAAATTTTAAAAACACAACCTGTGATAGAAAAAAAGGAGGACTCCTCTCCTGTTCAATACTTAAGAAGATGACTAATGGGTGCTGGCAGTTAAATATTCAAATATCTCCTAATTTAAAAACAAGCTCCTCAAATAGCATGTACTTCTGAAAACATTCAACACAGCTGTAAATTGCCAGTGGCATATGTAAGTGGCCAATGTGGATCATGAACAAGCCTTTTGTTTTGATGGAGGAACAAGAAGCTGTGGAATAAAAATATTCACGTAACAGCCACCAGGAAAGCTACCAAGGGAACTAATCTCTAAAAACAAAACCCTCCAACTGTTAGCGTCCCAATGGGCCAAACCACTGGTATGTGTTTAAGATAATAACTAACAGAAAATGGAGCCATGATTCCTTGAGGAGAGCCATGTTGTCTGTTTTCAGAAGGACCTGTTCTGAAAAACTTGTTTCTTAATGATAGCAGAAGAAGCCAAATAGGAATTTTTTTCAATCTCTCTCTCTCTGTCTCAGAGAGAGAGAGAGATTTTATGCCAGTCTGAATGCTTGGGTCTAGCTCCTCTCTTGTGATGGATGGAGGAGACAATACACTAGAATCTATTTAGTGATATTCCATGCATATAATGGGTTTATTATCTCACCAATGTTAGTTAATGCTTAGAAAGTTGAACCAAAGTAGTGAGGCTCTTGAGGGAAATATACGTTGGACTTGATTTTAACACCTTGGAGCAAGTATCAAACTTTCTAGCTTTAGCCCAGGATACATTCCTAATTCCAAGGCACTTCAGTCAGGCATGTGCTTTTCCTCCTTTCACTTTTCTATGTAAGTAGAGGTAATTCTGTTTCAAAGGACATGCACAGGGTCTCCCATTGCCCCCACTTTGTCTCAGAAAATGGTGAAGTTTCTGTGCTCTGTTAAGCTCAAAGCTCTCTGAGTCTTTTTTTACATTGTCTCTAGGGCAGAGAAAGGGGAGATTTTGTGGAGGAACTGTGGAACGCAGCTACTTGGCTGTCTCTCCGCTCTTTCTACAAACATCATAGATGTGATGTCATTCCATTGTTGGATGTGTCCTTTTGCAGATGTGTTCATCACTTGGTGATTCACAGAGACTAATTGTTTTTGTTGGATGGGATGCCCCTGACAAAGTGTTCTCAACTGCTGTTTTCTTGGGAAAATGTTCTCCCTATGTTGTCTCCCTGGCTACAGTCCTTTTTTGCCTTCTCCTCTCTGCAAAATGTCTATGAGGAGTGCTTGCCACTGGTGGCAAGGCAGGGTTCAAAACCAAGCATTTCTTACCTACTTATTATTTTCTGGGCCCTGGCTTCTATTCAACCCTTAGCTCAGACAAATAGTTCCATAGGTTTCATTATATTGTCTAGTTAGTTAAAATCTAGATTTTAGCTTTGGAAGTTTTCAAGCGTTAGGGAGAGAGAAGGAGACAGCATTTAGCTGGCTGACAGGCATGAAAATGAGAGCTTTTCATGGGCTGCTACTCACCTGAAATCTGCATGAGGAGGAGCTACCCATTGATCGGCCCTGGTGGAAACCAGAGCATATAAGTGTTGAGTAAGTGAGAAATTCTCCTTTCACAAAGACTGCAGAAAGTTAGTAAAGTAATCTGGAGGTTTTAGAAAAAGTGTTTTAGGAACTAAGTGGTTACAAATTTTTGATGATTTATAGACATGTTAACAATAATGCATAAACTCAGTCTAGAAGTAGTCACAGCAGCAATTTAGGGAGCATTGCAATTATTTCTTTTCATAGCTCTGCCATTTGGCTAAAAATAGAGATACAACGAAATCTTCCACTATATTGCCACTGTGTAACAGTGGCTTAGACATAGGAGAAATATTAACAGAATGATGAGAAAGTGCAGTAGGTGAGTAGTTTTATCTCAAGTCACATCTTGGTAATTAAAATAATATTTGTTTCAGATTCAACTAACTCTGGAGACAACATGTACACTTTAATGAATGCAGTACCACCTGGACCCAACAGATCTAATGTAAATATGAACCTATTATGTATTTTTCTGCAGTATGAAGCCCTGTTTGATTCATGCACTGGATCACCAGACCTTCATCTTATCTGAATCATGCTTATCTTCCCCATTTTGAGTGGGTACAAACAGTCCTTTAGCACCTTGAATACCTTGAAATTTGTGCATGTAAAAACTTTAAGCGGTGCATGTAAATCTGTTAGGTAGATGACTAAATTTGTCATCCTGGGGTATGCTGTTCTGGTCACAGTAGTACACCCTATCAGCTTCCATTAGTATGTGCAGAGCTTAAACTTTCATTACAAAAATATATTTCTACCTCTTAATAATGCAAAGAAAACTTCTGAATGTGACCCAGTCAATGATTTATTACCAATTCTATAGATGGATAAAATCAATAGCTTTCTGAAGGGTGAGATCTGCCTTGTTCATTTGAGTTGAGTGTTAAATATGAAGCTTAATGACAACCATTAAATATTAACTATGACACCACCGATTATTTTAGGCAAAACATCCAGCCACTCTGGAAGTGATGAAAACTTGGATTTTTGGAAAGAACTTTCTTCTCTTTCTATCCCTTATAGTTGCCCTCAATTTAGATGTCATTTATGCAAGCAGACCATGTAGTTAGAGGTCAATTTGAAAAAAGGCCACAAGAACTTAAGTAATGGTTTAATTGTAGTGCATTTATTGAAATTCATTGCATGTTTATCTACAAGTGCTGTAAATATCTGTGTTCTCAATTTGAAGACCCAGGTTTAATGATAAACTGTGAAATCCAAATGCTGAACTGGCAGAACTTTATATTGTTGCAGTGATAATGTGCTGTAGTCTGCTGTGATGCTCAGCACAGGTAGGGTGGGATTTCCAGAAGTGGTCTGTGTTGGCCTAACTCTGCTCTCATTGAAGTCAATAGTGAAACTCCCATTAACTTCAACAGGAGTAGATTTTAGTCATCACTGAGCACTTTTGAAAGTCCCAACCATAGTACTTAAGTAGGACGTAAGCGGTATATAGGCCACAGGCTAACTCTCTGCACAGACATGAATTCTCCAGGAGTGCAGAACACAGTAACTGAGGTAAAGGCTGGAAAAAAAGAAGTGAAAAACATGTAAGTGAAAATCACATAAAAATAATCCTCTCAGAGATAGACTATACAATTCAGTTTCTCCATTTCTATTTTTGTGCTTATTACTGTGTTTTATTAGATTATCTGCAATATATTCGTGCATTAATATAAATTTTAATATATTATCACGGTCCTTTTACAGTTTCCAATGGGCCCGGGATCAGATGGACCTATGGGTGGATTGGGTGGAATGGAATCACATCATATGAATGGATCTTTAGGTAAGGATAACAAATCTAGTGAATACTGATTTTAGAACTGTTTTTTATGACTAACTCCACAATAACCACAGCTCTAAATTGTGTGGGCAATTGTATATAAAATCATTTGAAAATTAGAAATATTGTATCAACATCAATCAGAAGTTCAAAAATGCTTTATTTAATCTTATATATCTGGTCTAATAAGGTGTCTTTTATAAATATTGTATATTAACAGAATATAATTTTTAAACCTGTTCGATAGTACACTATGTTAAACTAATGTGGAAGATGACAAAAGCTTTCTCCTCCCCAGTCCCACACAAAAGTACCAGTAATCAGAAGATGTCTTTATCACAAAGTGGTGCAGGTGCTTACATATTTATATATTTATATATCATATAAATAATATATGGAAACAATATACCACATCAATTGTTATCCACGTATTAAATTTTGAAACCAAATGTTAAATTATATTGATCATGCAGTTTTAACTGTCTCACTTGGACTCTACCCATTCATCCATCCTCGCAAGCATTACTTTTAATAGCTCATCCCCATGAAACAACTTCAAACAGCTTCTGTTTTTCATCAGCCTGCCGGAGAAATGTTTGAAATGTTTTCTTCTTTCTCTCCAAATGTGAACTTTCCTGCAAAATTACACCTGACATTACAGATATGATATTTTTCTGTATAGAAAAGCCATGTTAGGTAACTTTTAGAGGTCATTTAATATTTATTAGCTATATTTTTCTCTTTATAATATCAGTCTGGCCCAATGAACACATTCTAAAAATTATGCAGGTAAGAAGTGAAGAAGAAATGGAAACAGTGTAGATTGCAGGCATTGCAGACTGCAGACATGGAAATCCTACAAAGCTCCAAAGCTGTTCAGTCATCGAGAGGTCTGAAGAGCCACGGACTCTGTGTAGATTATAATTTCTGAAAAGTAGTGATATCTGGGGGAGTTAGGAGCCTTGTAGAATTATACAAAATTTGCAGTGGTTCAACCCCGACCCTTCCTCAGAGACTTTCTGCCCTGCACTTCAGGTTATTCCAGAAGAAGTTAGCATAGTTCAGGCCTGAATCTAGACCAGAAACTGAAGATTGTTAGACAAGATGCATGGAAGAATGAGAATGAGGAAGAGAGTGGAGAAGGTTATGGTAAAATGAGAAAAATGGATTTTAAGCTAAGGAAAGAATGCACCAAAACCTCTCTTAGCGGACTAACCCTGAGGAATAACAAATTCCCAGCAGTCTTTATGGAGCATGTCTCTGAACTTCCTAGATTACTTTGAATAAGGCTATCTTGTGATTTTGCAGCAGACCTTTTATAAATATTTTTTGTAAAATGGCTTCATTTTTTAATTGAAAATAATGCACATTATTTCCAAGTCAATTAAAAACTATTTTTGAACGTCATCACAAACTTTTGCTGTAATGTATTGTAGCCTGACAATAGCTTCTTAGTTATAAAATTAATTACAATTGAAGTGATAGTGGAAGAACTTTATGTGCACTAAGCATATGATTAGTATTTTCATCAGTAAACATGATTGCATACATTCAGTGTTTAACAAATTAAGTATGACATATTTTCTACTATAATTTTTTTAATATACAACAGTAGTTCTTTTAGAGACTCTTGGATGTCTAGAGTGCACTAAAGGTAGTTATTTTTTCCATGAGGAGCATTAGCTGTCTATAGACATGTTTACAGTTTCCTCTAGTTACAACAGTGTTCATATTGGGCTGCTACTTAGGCACTGCCATGGGAGAGGAGCAATGCAGAGCTGCATCTCCCAGGGGAGCTCCTTGAGCTTCCCAGTATGTAAGGGTGTCCCATCTTAAAGAATGCCAATGCAGAACACTTTAGAGTCCGGTGGTGTGACCTGTCCTCCTTCCTACCACTTTGCAGTGAGGTATATACCTTGGGCCACACAGAGAAAGCAGTGCCTGCCTTGCCCTGGAGCACAGGGACTGTGATTGCCTTTGGCAGAGAGGAGGCATCTTCCCACACAAACTGCAGGCACAACCATGCAAAAAGAACCTAACAGACTACTATAATGACTGAAGTATTTTCCTGAGAGAGACTAGTGGGAAGGGAAGAACTCAAACATAACTAACTATATGTTAGCTTATTGTTGCTATACTGTCTTTTCAAAGTGCAGAAAATGATAAACTCTTAGAGAATGCAGTTCAAAACTAATCTAAATAATGATTTATTTATTTATTTTAATTTAAGGCTCAGGAGACATGGACAGTATTTCCAAAGTGAGTATGTAATAAAATATATTTAATTTTAGCATTATAGCTATTATAGCATTTACTGTATTTAAATATCACTTAATTTGGGTTGTTAAAACTTTTTTTTTTACATTTCTAATTGCAAATTAAATGTGTATTATGGGCTTTTCAACTCTTTCAGGCAGAATCAACATTAGTTGGAAGGTTAAAAGTAATCTTTATAGTCAATAGGGACTATTAAACCGATTCATTTATATATTTCCCTGAACATAATAATGGTCATTACTGCATGTGATTAATGTATATCCAAGTCATAAACTAATTAATTATCTTACATTGTTGCATATTGGTAAAACAAACTAATACTGTTTTAATAATCAAACCTAGTTAAATATGGGAAGAGAGAAATTTGGAGATTTGTCATAAGGATATTATTTTTATGCATTGTATCATAGCTTTTCTCACCTTTATAAGACATTGCTAATATCCTTAATCACCACTCCAATTCCCTAAAAACTAAATTAAAATGTAATGACAGAAGAAACCGTATTTTGAGCATAGCAACAGTTTTATCAGTATATGAAATATGAATGTTCAACCATTAGTGGTTGGCACCTACAAAAATAATACTGTATTTGAATGCACTATATTTTCTGTAAAAAAATTGCTAACTCTGAGATTATTAATTTGAGGGTTGATTTAAATGAGGAATCGATGAGTGAAGGTATTAGAATTAGGCCCATATAAAATATTCTGTGCTGCTTCTTCGACATATACAGATATAACTGGTTAAAAACTAATCATTCTGCACTTTCGTGCTTTTGATCTATAAAGATAGAAATTAAGTAAAGGATTGTTTCATTCCAAATTTTGTGACTCATTTTTATTCATTTGAAATGCTAGAATGAAATTCTCAGCCATCTCCCAAAATGAAATGAGTTTCTTTTGAGAGAACCTACATGTTTTAGATTGAGATTTTGAGTTCACTAAATATAGTGTTAAGATATGGTTTCAAGATATGGTGTCATTATTCTGTCATGAAAATTCTAGCTTTTCCTCGTAGCAGAGCATCAGAAGCAGATGCAGCAATCTGTGATATCTGTCCAAGAGGCCCAGAGCTATGTAAAAAGTGTTTGCAGTGAAACCTAAAAGCATGCATAACTCACCTGGTTTCATTACAAACTCAAAACCCTGAGCTGTTTCATCAAAAGTTTCACTCTTGTTCTTGAACCTTTTGAGTGAGTTTGGGCCAATTTATGACTTTAACTAAGTCCCATGGAATTTACAGTATGACACAAAATTAGATGACATCTGGTGGTTTTAACTTAAATGTCACTGAGACAAGCAAGTTTCCATATTACAGATGTTATCACAGAAATTGTTGTGGAAATTAAGTGTGAAGTTGCACACATTTTTGCATTTGTTGCTAGTTCCTCAAGCCCAGTTGGGTTCCGCTTGACACAAGAGCTGAATGGTATAAAAAGGCATCTTAGTGAGGCTGATCATCTTGTGCATGAGGTTTAGAAAATTAGCGGAGACTTGCTAGAATACATTTTACGTCAAATCAGTTCATTGTTACAGTGTGTAGAAAAGGTTATAATTGACTGACCAAGTGGCAAAATATAAAGAGTTTAAGAGGTGGAGTGAGGTAGAGGAAACAAGAGAACTGAAATTGTGCATATAAGAGAGGCACTAATAACTATGGCTGTCGATTAATCACAGTTAACTCACGCAATTAACTCAAAAAATTAATCTCGATTAGTTGCACTGCTAAACATAGAATACCAATAGAAATTTAGTAAATATTTTTGGATGTTTTTCTACATTTTCAAATATATTGATTTCTATTACAACACAGAATACAAGTGTACAGTGCTCACTTTATGTTATTATTTTAATTACAAATATTTACACTGTAAAAATGGTAAACAAAAGAAATAGTATTTTTCAATTCACATCATACAAGTACCGTAGTGCAATCTCTTTATCGTGAAAGTGTAACTTACAAACGTACGGGTTTTTTGTTACATTATTTCACTCAAAAACAAAACAATTTAAAACTTTAGAGCCTACAAGTCCATTCAATCCTACTTCTTATTCAGCCATCGCTAAGCCCTGGTCTACACTAGGACTTTAGGTCGAATTTAGCAGCGTTAAATCGATTTAAACCTGCACCCGTCCACACAATGAAGCCCTTTATTTCGACTTAAAGGGCTCTTAAAATCGATTTCCTTACTCCACCCCTGACAAGTGGATTAGCGCTTAAATCGACGTTGCCGGCTCGAATTTGGGGTACTGTGGACACAATTCGATGGTATTGGCCTCCGGGAGCTATCCCAGAGTGCTCCATTATGACCGCTCTGGACAGCACTCTCAACTCAGATGCACTGGCCAGGTAGACAGGAAAAGAACCGCGAACTTTTGAATCTCATTTCCTGTTTGGCCAGCGTGGCAAGCTGCAGGTGACCATGCAGAGCTCATCAGCACAGGTGACCATGATGGAGTCCCAGAATCGCAAAAGAGCTCCAGCATGGACCGAACGGGAGGTACGGGATCTGATCACTGTTTGGGGAGAGGAATCCGTGCTATCAGAACTCCGTTCCAGTTTTCGAAATGCCAAAACCTTTCTGAAAATCTCCCAGGGCATGAAGGACAGAGGCCATAACAGGGACCCGAAGCAGTGCCGCGTGAAACTGAAGGAGCTGAGGCAAGCCTACCAGAAAACCAGAGAGGCGAACAGCCGCTCTGGGTCAGAGCCCCAAACATGCCGCTTCTATGATGAGCTGCATGCCATTTTAGGGGGTTCAGCCACCACTACCCCAGCCGTGTTGTTTGACTCCTTCAATGGAGATGGAGGCAATACGGAAGTAGGTTTTGGGGACGAAGAAGATGATGAGGAGGAGGTTGTAGATAGCTCACAGCAAGCAAGCGGAGAAACCGGTTTTCCCGACAGCCAGGAACTGTTTCTCACCCTAGACCTGGAGCCAGTACCCCCCCGAACCCACCCAAGGCTGCCTCCTGGACTCAGCAGGCGGAGAAGGGACCTCTGGTGAGTGTACCTTTTAAAATGCTATACATGGTTTAAAAGCAAGCATGTGAAAGGATTACTTTGCCCTGGCATTTGCGAAAGGTTTCTGGGGAGGGCAGCCTTATTTCGTCCTTCATGGTAGGACACTTTACCACTCCAGGCCAGTAACACGTACTCGGGAATCACTGTAGAACAAAGCATTGCAGTGTATGTTTGCTGGCATTCAACCAAAATCCGTTCACGCGGTGGGAGGAGGCAAAATGCGACCTTGTAACGAAAGCACATGTGCTATGTATGTAATGTTAACAGCAAGGTTTACCCTGAAAGAGTGTAGCAACTGTTTTATAAAATGTGTCTTTTTAAATACCGCTGTCCCTTTTTTTTTCTCCACCAGCTGCATGTGTTTCAATGATCACAGGATCTTCTCCTTCCCAGAGGCTAGTGAAGCTTAGAAAGAAAAAAAAACGCACTCGCGATGAAATGTTCTCCGAGCTCATGCTGTCCTCCCACACTGACAGAGCACAGACGAATGCGTGGAGGCAAATAATGTCAGAGTGCAGGAAAGCACAAAATGACCGGGAGGAGAGGTGGCGGGCTGAAGAGAGTAAGTGGCGGGCTGAAGAGAGTAAGTGGTGGGCTGAAGACAGGGCTGAAGCTCAAAGGTGGCGGCAGCGTGATGAGAGGAGGCAGGATTCAATGCTGAGGCTGCTGCAGGACCAAACCAGTATGCTCCAGTGTATGGTTGAGCTGCAGCAAAGGCAGCTGGAGCACAGACTGCCACTGCAGCCCCTCTGTAACCAACCGCCCTCCTCCCCAAGTTCCATAGCCTCCACACCCAGACGCCCAAGAACGCGGTGGGGGGGCCTCCGGCCAACCAGCCACTCCACCACAGAGGATTGCCCAAAAAAAAGAAGGCTGTCATTCAATAAATTTTAAAGTTGTAAACTTTTAAAGTGCTGTGTAAGGCTGTGGTTTTCCTTCCCTCCTCCACCACCCCTCCTGGGATACCTTGGTAGTCATCCCCCTATTTGTGTGATGAATGAATAACGAATGCATGACTGTGAAGCAGCAATGACTTTATTGGCTCTGCAAGCAATGATTAAAGGGAGGAGGGGAGGGTGGTTAGCTTACAGGGAAGTAGAGTGAACCAAGGGGCGGGGGGGTTCATCAAGGAGAAACAAACAGAACTTTCACACCGTAGCCTGGCCAGTCATGAAACTGGTTTTCAAAGCTTCTCTGATGCGTACCGCGCCCTCCTGTGCTCTTCTAACCGCCCTGGTGTCTGGCTGCGCGTAACCAGCAGCTAGGCGATTTGCCTCAACCTCCCACCCCGCCATAAACGTCTCCCCCTTACTCTCACAGATATTGTGGAGCACACAGCAAGCAGTAATAACAGTGGGAATATTGGTTTCGCTGAGGTCTAAGCGAGTCAGTAAACTGCGCCAGCGCGCCTTTAAACGTCCAAATGCACATTCTACCACCATTCTGCACTTGCTCAGCCTGTAGTTGAACAGCTCCTGACCACTGTCCAGGCTGCCTGTGTATGGCTTCATGAGCCATGGCATTAAGGGGTAGGCTGGGTCCCCAAGGATACATATAGGCATTTCAACATCCCCAACAGTTATTTTCTGGTCTGGGAATAAAGTCCCTTCCTGCAGCTTTTGAAACAGACCAGAGTTCCTGAAGATGCGAGCATCATGCACCTTTCCCGGCCATCCCACGTTGATGTTGGTGAAACGTCCCTTGTGATCCACCAGAGCTTGCAGCACTATCGAAAAGTACCCCTTGCGGTTTATGTACTCGGCGGCTTGGTGCTCCGGTGCCAATATAGGGATATGGGTTCCGTCTATAGCCCCACCACAGTTAGGGAATCCCATTGCAGCAAAGCCATCCACTATGACCTGCACGTTTCCCAGGGTCACTACCCTTGATATCAGCAGATCTTTGATTGCGTGGGCTACTTGCATCACAGCAGCCCCAACAGTAGATTTGCCCACTC